CATGGAAATAGATATGTCACCTTCAATTCATGTTTTCAGAAGGATCATATGATATTTGTATTACTTGTTTTATTAATTTTTGCAAGACTCTCCATGTTGTTTTCAATGCTGGAAGCACCAAGTTACATTCCCACTAGTATTGTGTGTGTTTCTATTTCTCCACATCCTCTCCATCACTAGAGGTTTCTTGTCTTCTGGTTCTCTATTAATGTTATTTCTCATTATTGTTTTGCTTTGCATTTCCCCTATAATAAATGAGAATGGTGGGATTTCATTGTCAAATATGTATAGTTGTTCTTTTTTCTCCATTGTAACCTTTCTACTATGATTAACTATTACTTACCTTACTCTGGGATATAGTTTGAACATTCTGATTCTGTCTTTCCATTTAACTTCTTACTCAAGGCTGTGATACTTTTGTTCTTCATTTCATGTAAAAGAACTCTTTTCAACATTTCTTGTAAGATTTGTCTTATGGTGATGAACTCCATGGCTTTGGCTGAGGGGTGCTGAATTTCTCCATCAAAAGTGACTATTCATTTTGTAGGGTAGAGTGTTCCCAATTGGCAGCTTTTATCTTTTTGCATTTTGAATATGTCATTCCACTCTCTCCTGTCCTGTAGAGTTTTTGCTAAGAAATGTGGTGGTAGTGTGATAGCAGTGACTTTGTATGTTACATGCTTTTGTTTTCCCTAGCAGCCTTTAACATTTTTTTTTTTAAGATTTATTTATTTATTTATTTATACAAGCACTGGGTACAGTCAGAAGCGCGGGAGGGTGAGAGAATTCACCAGAGCCAGAGCGGGGAGCAGAGCAGGCAGAAGGACCGAAGTACACTGCTGAGGGGAGCAGCGGGCGGCAGGAGAGGTCTGCGCGCCATGTGGGATTCTCCGCCGGTGGCTGGGGAGCAGCCGGGGATCGAACCGGCGCCGCAGAGGCCGCGGGCAGCTTCGCAACCCAGCGCTCAACCGCTGCGTCACCGGGGAGGCCCTAACATTTTTCTTTTATCAGTGACTTTTGGCAATTTTACTAGTGTTTGTCTTGGTGTAGCATTTTTTTCACGCAGATAGTTGGGTTTTGTGTTAGCTTCATGGACTTGTATGGGTACTTCTTTCTCTAGGTTTTGAAAGTTCTTAGTTATTATTTCTGCCCTCCCCTGTATCATTTCACCTTTGGGATACACAATTTTTCTTATGTTTCCTTTCCTATAGAGTCTGACAGTTTTCATAGAACTCTTTCATTTATTCTTAATTATTATTCCTCTATCCTCGTCTACTTGAGTCATTTTAGATTTCTATATTTCTCCATGATAATTCTCTAAATTCTTTTCTCCCTTTCTGTTTCTATTTCCTATACTTTCAGTACAATCCCTATTTTCATTCATTGAATTGATTATATCCAGAATATGTTTGAGTTTTTTTCATAGACTCAATTTTTTTTTGGTACAAAATCCTCCTTCTGCTCCTTGATTTACTTCTTTTTTTTATTATTTTGAAAAGCTCAGCTCAATTTCTTTATTTTTTTTGTTTGACCAGCATAATGTCTTTATTTTTTTTATTTTTAAATATGCTAAGTATATTTATTTTTTTACTATAAATTTTATTTGTATAGCTTTTAAGTGCTGTCTTGTAGTTCATTAAGTTTTTTCATGACTGCTGTTTTGACATCTCTGTCTATTGGGCCAGAAAATTCTGTGCCTTAACTTTTATTTCTGGAAATTTATCATTCTCTTTCTAAGATTCGACAATGCTGTATTGTTCATCTTATCTGATAGTGTGTTCCTCGGTGTATTTGGCATACTTCAGTAAATAGGTGTCTTTCTTTTATTCCAGTAGGTGGAAGTATTGCTTTGTTTTAAGTTTCTCTTTGACACCAGGGTCTTGCATAAGAGGTGGGAGGGTCAGAAGGCCATTGTTTCATTGCCTGGTTTGGGCAGGAAGTGGGGATGGACCCTGGTAGAGTCACATCACTGACTCTTCTCCATGTAAACCTCCATGTGTCTTGTTCTGTGCACCAGCCTTTGTGATAGCTTCCTGTTTCAGGGCTGTATATCAGTGTGGTGAGCTACTGATGTCCTTTATGCCTGATGGCCTTATGGTGGAGGGGAGAAAGAAGAGGTTGTAGTTCAGTGCACCGCTACCATAGACAACTTCAACAGGTCCCACCCCTGTGGTGAGACTTTCATCCTCAATGAGAACCCAAGGGCATGGGCATTCACTATGTCTCTGTTCTCCCTGCCACCGTACAGCCTGGTCTACAGATAGGTCTGGTGGCCCCAGAATCTCCACTGTCCTGGTTCCCCCACATCCAGCAGTCCTAACCCACCCACCTTCAGATACACAGACATATGGTGTTTCTGGGGTGCTACCATGATGAGCAGAGAAGGTGTACTTGAGTTTAAATGTTCTATAGGTTATAGTTTAATGGGGAGAAATGATGTATTTCCAAATTGTCTTCATTTGAGCCAAAAATGAATAAAACTGGATTGCCATTCAAGTGAAGTGCTGAAGTATAATATTTTCAACTCAGTGACAGCACTTGTATCAACATTTATATCCATTATTATGTAAACTACACATTTTTCCTTCCTTATTTAAAAAAAGATTTATTTATTCATGCATACAAGAACCGGGGTACAGGCCAGATGTGCGGGAGGGTGAGATGATTCACCAGAGACAGAGCAGGGAACAGAACAGGCAGACTGAGTGAAATACACTGCTGAGGGGAGCAGTGGGTGAAACAGGACTGTCTGCCCCACCATGTGTGTATCTCCCTGGTGGCCGGGTTCCTGCTGGCACTGCAGGGGTTGCGGACAGCTTCACAGCACTGCACTCACCTGCCTGTGCCACCAGGGGAGGCCCTCCTTCCTTTTTTTTAATTGGTATTAGATTCAGGGGTACAACATAATGATTCAGAGTGTTGATATATTGTTTGAACTATAAACAGTCATCACAATAAGTGCTGTTAACATACAAGACCATGCATATTCTAAAAATTTTCTCTTGTGGTGAATCCTTTTAAGATATAATTTCTAAGCAACTCTCAAATATTTTATAGATTATTATTAATTATAGTTACCATGCTGAACATTACATCCTCAGAAACTATTCATGTTATAACTACATGTTTGTGCACTTTTTTACCCCTTCCAATTGCTCATCGCCCATTTCCTGCAGCCACCAGTCCATAACCTGTATCTTTGAGCTTGGTTTTTATGTTTGTTTTTCTTATGCATTAATCTTTCTTGTTATATTTTACTTAGGATAAGGTCTTAATGTTATAGTTAACATTACATCATTCAATAGATGACGATGTTTTCCTTTTCTTATGACTGAATAATGTCCCGTTGTATACATATTCCTATATGTACAAATGTGTGTATTTTATTTTCAAGATATGTATCAAAATTTCTATTTCTATTCATCCAGGAATATATACTTAACAAGTTGTTCCTTTGTTCCTTGAATAACTGCACTGAACATGAAAGCACATATATTTGAGTAATTGTTTTGGTTTTCTTCAAATAAAAACCCAGAAAGGAATAGTGCTGTCATAAAATAGTTCTATTAATAAATTTTGAGACATACCACAATGTTTTCCATATTAGAATCCCTTGTATTTTTATTTGGAAAAATTTCTTCAAAAACTTAATTTCTATTCAGTGAAACTGACACAGCAAAAACCTACTCCAGGCTACTCTAAGGTCTTCAAGTATCAGCTGCTCCAGCTACACAATTGTTGTAAGTATCAATTACTCTTCACTCCCCACAAATTCAGAAAGAACCATTCATACTATTTAATAAGAACATTAAAAGACTCCTTAACCTTGGCCTCATTTCATTCTGATAATTTTTAATTTTTTTATTTTAACAAATAAATTTATAATTATCAAAACATCACACACAATCGCCCCCAAACACCATACAAAAACAACAAAAATCAACATAAATATTTACTTAAAGCACTTCAAAATGTGATTTTAAGCCAAATAGGCCATACCCCAGAGCACACAGCAATGTCCATCGCAGAACTGCATTGGCGATGGCCTGAATGCAAAATGCTTCGGAAAATGTCTCTGGTCATTGATACAGCAAAACTAATTGTTCTATTCAACAATTGGTTGAATTTTTAGTATATATTATAATTTTTATTGCTAATTGAAATAAACATTCTTTGAAAATGCTATAATCGTATTTCCCAGCATGTACCAATCATTTCCAGATTTTATCAACAGGATAATTGCCCTTGCCCACATGGGCTTTATTCTAGACTTACACTAACAATGAGATGTCACAGTTGCTCTTGAAATGCAAATACAGGCAATATTTTCAAAGAATGGTGAGTAGCAATGTAGAAAGACAAAGGAATAGTAAGTGGACAGTATTTGGGATAAAGAAGAGATCTTTAAACGATGGAAATAATTTTGGAATCATTCAGTCTTGCATTGAATCTCTCCACAACAGATGCTGGGTTATGTATTTGATGCAAATAGTATTTCGGTGACAATTCCAGATTCTATGAATGTTTGTATAAGTGAAGTTGTGGATAATCAATTCTGACCCGGGACAAGTGAGGTGTGATCACTCCATGATCCTTGAGACACTGTGGAATGCACCACGACTGCCTTACTCAGGAGTGATGAAGTTGGGATATTCATGCTACAAGCCTTATTTACCTGAAGCCAGAGATGAAGGCTAGGGGTGTCAATGTACCCTGTGTGCAGGGTGAGCCTGCGCCTGTGGGGAGGTGAAGCCATGGGGCATAGAAATAATAGGGATAGAGTTGATAGTCAGGTTATCCTGCAGATGGACTGAGTGTAATGAATGTTGCATTCAATGATGGAAATAATATAGAAAATGAATGGAAGAATCTCATTTCTAGAAAGAGTCAGAAAATAATGAATCTCAAATAACCAGCGGGAAGAGATCCAGGTGTATGGCAGGGGCTTGTCTTCTTAAAAACAGGGAAAGCTGGTCTACTTCCTTTCTCATTGACCCAGGATGGCCACAGAGGGAGAAAACCTCACCCTGGTGTCTGGATTCATCCTACTGGGTATCTCAGAGGACCCCAAGCAACAACAGCTGCTGTTCATACTCTTCCTGAGCATGTACCTAGTCATGGGGTTGGGGAACCTGCTCATCATCCTGGCCATCACCACAGACGCTCGCCTTCATAACCCCATGTACTTCTTCCTGGCCAACCTGGCCTTTGTGGACATTGGTTTCACCTCCAACACCATCCCCAAGATGCTTGTCAACCATGTCACAGGACACAAAGGGATCCCTTATGCTGGGTGCCTGACACAGACTTTCTTTTTTGTGTTGTTTGGCAGCATAGAAAGCTTCCTTCTGGGTGCCATGGCCTATGACCGCTATGCTGCCATCTGTCACCCCCTACACTATGCCACATCTGTGACACCACAGGTGTGTATCCTCCTGGTGGCAGCATCCTGGACTGCAGCCTTGGGGAATGCCCTAACCCACACGCTATCACTGACCCGCCTTTCATTCTGTACCAACAACCAGGTTCCTAACTTCTTCTGTGACCTCAGCACTATGCTGAAGCTGGCCTGCTCTGACACGTTTTTCAATTATGTGATGGTGAACACCGTGGGCAGCCTGCCTGTATTTTTTCCCTTTGTGGGCATCCTGGTCTCCTATATGCGCATCTTTGCTGCCGTGATGAGGATCCCATCCACAAAAGGCAAGTGGAAGGCTTTCTCCACCTGTGGCTCTCACCTCTCTGTGGTGTCTCTGTTCTATGGGACACTCATAGGAGTTTATTTCAACCCCACATCCTCCCACATTGCTCAGAAGGACACAGCTGCTGCAGTGATGTACACTGTGGTCACTCCCATGCTGAACCCCTTCATCTACACTTTCCGCAACAATGACATGAAGGGGGCCTTGGGGGCCCTCATCAGTAGGAAGCCAGCTTTTACTCCTTGACCACAATGTGGGGTATCTGTGTCCAAATACAGAACCCGGCATTATCCTAATCTTCGTTTTTATTTACTTCATGTTGTATTCAGTTCACTAATTTTTTTTACTTCATTCTTCCAACAGCTATTTATTGAGCATCTATTACATTTCAATAACTCTTATAAGTGCTGAGACCTGCAGAGAACAAAGAAAATCCCTGACATTGTGGTATTAACACAAATTCATAGAAACACATAATGGTTAGTAAGAAGTGCCTTGAAAACCAGAGACCAGGATTTAAGTTCTTCTTGAGATAAAGTTCAGATGCTAGTTCTTTCTCTTTTCTACACAGGTTCTTTAAATGGCTTAATTTGATTTGTATCCATTTATTTTGCAGTGTTTGTTTCCTTGAACTCCATATCTGTCATTGTCAATATTCTGTGAAACAATAGTCTTGAGCAGAAGGTAAAAGTCTTATTTATGCTCTCTGGGAGTTAAGGAGGCTGTTGGCTTTTCTAATAGTGTGATGTTTCTGATTCATCACTTTCTTTAATACTTTCTTGTAAGTCCTTGACATGAGCAACAAAAAACTGCCAACCCCAGTAAGTTCTTGCTCTTTTTGATCACATCTAAGCTCAGTGATATATGATATACTTTATAAATTATCATGGTGCATGGTATTTCCAAATTATCTTCCTTGGCATTGCACAAGCCAGCTAACTAGTTTGCGGGATTTGTTTCTTACCACTTGTCTACCAAGTTAACGCAACTAAACTTTCATTTTTGTGATATTACCTGTTTATGTATTATTTTAAATGAATAGTTTATTTGCTGTTAGTTTTTTAGTGCCTCTGTAACAAAATGCCACAAATTAGTGGCACAGACATTAAGAGGAATAAGTAAAATACTGTGGTACATACATGACTGTCAGGCAGATGATGTTAGATGAGAAATTAATAAATGTATAACATAAGAAAACATAACTAAGATGAAGCCAAAGATGTTATCTGAGATTTTGAAAATTATATTTATTGAGGTAGTGCTGGTGTATAGCACTATATAAGTTTTAGGGTTACAGACTCACATTGCTACTGGTCTTTATAATCGAACTATGTTTATCACCAAAATACCAATAATCCTCCACCAACATCTATTGGGCCCCCTCTTTCACTATGCTCCCGAAATCCTACTCACCTGTCTAGCAGCCTTAACTCTACTGTCAGAGTTCTAAGGCTTGTTTTGGTTTGGTGTTTTCTATTGCTCTCTTTGTTTCTCTATATCATACATATGAATGAAACAATCCAATATTTGTCTTTCTCTTTCTGACGTATTTCATTTAGCATAGTCACCTCCAGTTCTATCCATGTTGTCACAAATGACATGATTACATCTTGTTTTTTTTATACCAAGTTGTATTTCATTATGTACATGTACCACATCTTCTTTATCCAGAGTTATCGGAAATTTTTCAAACACAAACAATAGTACATATTTGTCATAAAATACTGTAGAATGGATGACATAACTAATGTATATTTGTTGTTAGCATGTTTGGAGGCTGGAAAATATGCTAAGGATCCAGTATGGCTGAGTTCTGGAGAGGACCCTTTTCTGGTCGCATACACTGTACTCCTGCTGTGTCCTCACAGGACCAGTTCTCCAATGTCTCTTTTGATGAAGATAGCAGTCCATTCACAAGGTTCCAACCAAGTTACTAAACAAAGGTAACTTGGAGTTTTCTACCTCCAGATATTATTACATTGGGAATTAGGGTTCAACTTATGAATTAGGAGGGGGACACAAATATTCAATTCATAGCATTCACTCAATTGCAGCCAAACAACAGGGAATAAAAGAGTAAATTAGTAGTGAATGTAAAAAAAAAATTAAAGAAGGGTTTCTCCACCCCACCCATGCCAGTAACCCAGGTAGAAACCCAGTTTCCCTTGCCTAGTAGAGTGTCAAAATAACATTAAGGAACCAATAGCCAGAAACAAGGTAGTACTGGTGAAGTCTGTACTCAGCAACAATGACTTATCTCTCCCCCATTGAGGTGGTTTCAGAGAGCCTAGTGGAATGTAATAATAAGGCACCCCATAACACAGCTCATTGGGAACTTCATAGAGATCTGAGGTTTCCTACAGCATAACAAAGCATCCCCAACTTAAATGCCAGTAGAAGCAGAATTGGGACCCTAGACTTCTACCTCACCCTGCTGTCAGGAGCAACACCTCTCCTATCCCCTACCAAAGAAAACATAGTGTGAGAGAAGTCAGCTAGCTCAAAATTCAATTAACCTGAAATGCAAACAAGATTCACAATCTCAAACATGATTGTAAAATGTCCAGGTTTGTTGGGAAATCAGTTATTATATTTTTGTTTTGTTTTGTTGTGGTTTTCTTGTTGTTGTTATTATTATTATTTCCTTGAGCCCCTATATTCCTCCTATAGGTGAAACCATCTGGTATTTTCTTTTTCCTACTGACTTATATCTCAGAGCATAATCCCTTCAACTTCCACCCATGGTGATGATGTGCAGGTGAATTGGTGGTGGAAAGTCTATGGGGACGACACCTGAGAAAAGAAAGCAAACATTGTAAGGGAATAAATAAATAAATAAATAAATAAATAAATAAATAAATAAATATCAGTTATTATATGAGAGTCAAAAAGATCTCTAACTGAATGAAAAGAAAATCCAGAGATGTCAACAGCAAGATGACAGAGATTCTAGAATTATTAATAGAGGTTTTAAGGAAACCATGATTAAAATACTTGGACAGTAATTACAAGCATTCTTGAAACAATTGGAGAACAACGTCACAGGAAATGAATAGAAGATAAAGAACCAAATGGAAATGTTAGAACTAAAAATACATAATAATCATAATAAAGTACTCAGGGGAGTAGAATCAACAGAAAATTGGACAGAATGGAGGAAAAAATAAGTGAACTGGAAGATAAAACAATGAAAACTACTCATTGTAAATTATGGGGAGAAATAGATTAAAAAAGAACAGATTCTGAGCTTCAGTAACCTTGTCACAGTGTAATCACCAGCATAGGGGGAGATTCTGGGTGCCCTGTCCTACCCTAAGGAAGGGGTGAAGCTGGGCCGGGTGGAGAAGCTAGAAAAGACCAAAGAAAAGAGGGAAAATAAGAGAAAACCTGAAGGAGGCACAAGGAGCAGAGAGACATGTGAAAAAGCTACATTTGTTTCTTGGCCTTTAACTTGTAACAGGCTTGAAGGACCTGGAAAGAGACAGAGACATGGCTAAGAGACCCATGGGGAGGCTGACAATGGCAGCCTTTATTATGACTTGTACTTTGATTTTTCTCTTTTCCTTCCAGACTTGCCTGACTCCTTCTGCCCTTTTCCTATTGGTCTCCACCAGTAGTGCCTTAGACTTGTGGCAAGCTTTCGGAACTCAGTGACTCCATATTGGACCAAGCCTGTTTGACTGGACACTTACCATGAGGGGATGGGAAACTTTGAGTGTTTCATGTGAAAACTATTGTAACTATTCTTTCATCCTCTTCTGTCTATTGCATACTATTTTATTAAGTCCCTTTCCACTGAAGTTCTTACGCACTAAGACTATGTTTCTCTTTATGAAGTGAATGGCAGAACCCATTTAGAGAAGGCAGGTTGGGGGTACTGGGTGACCTACCCTGCCAACTCCCAACCTGTGGTACTATTATAAAGCAAAGTAGTATTTGTGTCACTAGAGTCCCAGGAGAAGGAGGATGAGAATGGGACTAAAAGACAAACTTGAGGAAATAATGACTAAAATCTTTCCAAATGTGGGAAGAGTCATATCCCTGCCAAGTGAATATGAGCGGATTCCAAATAGAATAAACCACAAAAAAATTGATGACACCTTACCTAGAGGGGAAAACCAACTACAGTGATGATGCCATTCTTGCCAGAAACCCTAGGTCAGAATGAGATAGCACAACAATTTTTCAGATTCTGTAAGGAAAGAACTTTCAACTTTGAATCTTATGTCTAGAAAAATAACCTTTGGAAATAAATCTGATATTGAGACAATCTTAGGTGACTGAGCTAAGAATAATTTCTACCAGTATAAATATTCTTATGGAGAGAGGATCAAAATGGCAGCAGAGAAACACTGTGAGTAAGTTCTCCCATAATAACAATTAATGAGGAGGAAAAGCGGCAGGTCCCTGCGAGAACCAAGAGCCGGGACACGGAAGATAAATGGGCAACTCTGGCAAACTGCCTGAAGACGAAAGTTGCAATAAAAGAGGCCAAGCGGAGAGGAAAGCATCAGAAACCTGCTACCCTCCCCCACCACAAAGCCAGCACTTCGCACCAACAGAAAGGAGAAAGAAAAAAAATCCAAACAAAAACAAAAAACAAGCAAACTAGAGATCAAGCAGGACAGTGAGTGGAAAGGAACTACTGCAGACACCACACCCACGAAAGGAAACTGTGGGAAACCATCCCGGAATTGCCACAGAGGTGAGAGACCAGCTACTACGGACACCATTACAGGAAGATAAGGACTCCGAGGAGAGACTTGCAAATAGCCAAAGGCCAACCAGTAAACTTTTGTGCAAAAGCACTTGTGTGCTTGAAAAGCATAGGGCGATCAAAAGCATATGGGGCTGCCCAGGTCCCCACATCCTGTTTTTGTTGGCAGACATGTGGGAGCCAGCACTGAGGTGAATGACCCTCACTTGGTAATCAAAAACCAAGCACCCAGGCACAGGAGCAGGGTGCAATAGGTGCTATTTCTGCGGACACTCTGGGGTACTGCCCATATCCCAGATCTGAGGGCTTTGGAGCTGAGAACCAGGCATGAAATTTGGGGTGTGGGATCCCCACGATGCACAGCACAGGGCAGACACAGCACCCCTACTCTGTTCAGCCATTCCACGCCACCACCACTCAGTTCCCCAGACACCCACTGGGAAAAAGCACAGTTCTGGAAGGATACCAGGAAAGAGCTCTGGTGCCACCTAGTGATCAGAACAAAATCATAAACTCCCTAATAGTTAGA